TAGTTTTGTTACCATGTAAAATTTTGATTTCCTTCAAATCCTGTCAATGAATCAGAAGAAAAAGAAAACAAATAAAGGATATATCCAAATTCCATCAAATTGGTTTCTGTATTTTTTAGCGCAAAATTTCGAAGGGCACTTTGAAATCTAGACCGTATTAATAAATTTCCCAATACGGCAAATACGGTCTGAATCCGCCCCTGTATATATCATATAGATATAGATGAAACCCGATTAGATTTTTGCATATATGCTTACTGTCATTTAGCAAAGATCGATGACCATATGAAACGACAAACACTTTTTTTTATGAATATAACGTTAATTTATTAGTATTTGGCCTAGTAGCTTGGCTATAACAGTAGCAGAGATTGTAGCTTGGATCTAGTCAAAGTTTCATCTCGTAAGATGCATGACTATGTATTCATCTTGATACATATATATATACTGATATCATTATAACTTTATAAGAGCACTTACGTAGATCTGATACCCTGATACATAGTCAGAGTGACTCGGACGTACTAACCTAACACTACGTACGGAGTCCTAATAACTTAATACAATACACCCGCACGTTGTAAGCAATTAATAATCCCTCGCGAAGCATTCTGCTAGAGAACGTATATATTCCCTCGCGAGGGGCGGGAATCGGAGGAGCGCTCACACATTCCTCCACAGTATAATCATTAGAACCCGACCGGCTCCCGAATTTACATATTGCGCGAACGCCGCCTTGTGCCGCATGCGCATTGGCCAAGTATTTGGCGCTAGCGCGATCAGTCTGAGCTGGAGCCTGTGGGAGAGCAGGTGGTATGTGATCGTTCCGGCAAGAGTGTGCGGTTGTTCTATCTAACTTTTAGGTTTTATACTAGTGCATTACCTTCGTTAATCGTCGCCCCAAAGGTCCGTTCGATATTATTTGCAATAATTTTCCGGGAGGACAGAGATTTCGTTTTTGAAGCGGATCTCAAGTTCTCCCGCGGGAATTTTTGGCAGTTGGGATCGTCTGAACGTGTACCTATGTATTTATAATTTTCAGGCGGTAGTTTTCACATAAACTTCCTGTGAGACAGAGAACAGACTTCACGATGTCTAGAAAAAGGTAAGCATGCATGCTTTGTGTCGGATTTTGACCTAAATTTCACTTTCTATGCCCAGTGACACTGTGTGAAATATGGTGTCAGTGAAGGTTGCCCTCCATTTTGTTCAATGCAATTTGTATGGCTCATAGCACTGGACTTGGTAAAGTTGCTTAAAATCACGTATGATATATTTCAGTGGGAGATTACAGACGAAACAATATCATCAAACAAATATCCCTAGAATACTCGCAAGGGGCAAAAGGAAAGCAGATGAAGCGGTGAGTACATGCCATTTTAGCTCGAATCCCTTTGTCAGTGTGCAGTCTTCATGCAGGTGGTTTTCTCACGAATCTCGCTAATGTTTAGCATAATTATCGTTGTTACATTAACTAATAATGTTTAAGCAACACTTAGCTCTTAATCTGTGAATTCGAAACTTTACGAGATCTTTACTAAGGCCTAGTTTCTACCGGCCCTTATTCGGCTACTCTAGTCGGCCATATTGCAAAATGCATCTAGGTCTACCGCCAAAATGTTCCCGCCTAAAAATGGGGACCGATCTTCGTGATTTTACTTGATATCATTTTTTCCATTTCGCAACTTGAACATTTAAGCTTTACTCTTTTAAATGATGTATGTCACTATCTATGGCGATTAAAGTTACCGTAGTAGCATGTAATCAAACGAGGGCCGTTTTACACGACGACTCCATTTTGAGGTGTGGGCTGTAGCCTGTATATAGTGGCTGTACTACTAGTAGTAGTACTACTACTTTACAAACTATGGCTGAGGGAACTGCGCTACACCAATAATTTGTACTATACTCTAGACTATAGTGTATGGTGGAATGTGTAGAGTGTGTATAGGCATAATTGCTAAATGTAGTAGTGGTTAGGTTTGTTACTTCTTTGACACTTATTGTTAGTATTTTGTCGTACCTGAAAGGGAACGTATGATCGGTGTATTTGCTAACACTACACTGTTCACTAAGTCTAATTTTAGACGTAAACAAAGATAGTCCGGCTTTATTACAATAAAGAACAACATCTCTCATGTAGACTCTGTTCTTGAGTAAAAGACAGTAAGTAAATAAGACTTCTAATGACATGTGGAATGTTGCAAAATAACGTGTATAACGTGAAAAATGCTGTTCTGGTTTTTGCACCGATGTAAAATCCATCAAGCCCATTGGCTTATCGAGTTGACGTTTCTATATACTGTTGTCAGGACATCTGTAATGTTCTGTGAATGATGTGATACAAGTAGACTTGATATTGATATGTGGCAACATGTATCGTCGGCATGGGAAATTTGTGAAGCAAAGGCATGATAGCATGTACTGAGTAGGATGTAGATACAATAATGTAACCCAAACACAGGGGTAGGGGCATTGGGGTAGTACCCCTGCCCCAGTAGCCTCCCCTACCCCTGTGTTTGGTTTACATTATTGTATCTAAGTAGGATGGTGAAGGGGCATGGAATCTTAACTAGAACCTTTTGTTTCATGAAATTATTTCCCCTGTACAATCCATCCACATGCATGTCATCTGTGTTGCCTCTTATTTTTTGGAGAACCCATTTTCAAGACCCCTACACTGCAAATGTATTAAGGCAGCACAATACAAACTAACTGCCAAAGCTTTGTGTGAACCATCTATACAATGAATTCAACAACATCCTGAAACCCAGATCCTGCTTCTAAGTAATAGAGACCTGGTTGAGATGTCTGTTGGATATCACCATGTAAACTTGCGAACAAGGCTCCCTGGATTGTCAGCTGCGTGTTGTGTTGTGTTCCCCTGTCAGCTTCCCTTCCTTGCAACGATGTTGTGTATGCTTCTGCTCGTTACTCTCAGGCACTCCTGTCTGCTGCTGCCTCACCTCTACTAATGAAACCTGTCTGAGATTCTATGGGTAGTGGGTGTCTATCCAGCCACCCATTCACATGGCTCTAGTAAGCATTAACCAGTGGTCAGTCCATGTGGAGCCTGGAGAGGGCGGGGGGTGGGGGGCGAATTGTCATGCTGCATGCTACTCTGTCATACATTCTAGTGTGGGATTTGACAGGCTTCACTGTATCACCTTAAAAGTTGCGTTAGAATTGAGATTTCAGAGAGGTACTGCTGTGGTGGTAAGGTTAGTCGTGCAAACCCACCTGTTGTCAGACTTTTTGTTATGGTCAGTCTTCTCTGTAGTTTATCAGATCCCCCCACCCTAATATCATAGAGTTGGCCTCCCTCCCTCCACCCACCCATCTGACAGTGTGAAGAGACTGCCATAGGCCAGTCTGAAGTGCAGTGTGCATCAAACCAGTTCTTCGTGCTACATGATGATAGGCGTAGTTCATAGTAAACCTGATAGGGAGACACTTTGTGCGCATAGCATATTTTAACTTCCACGCGTTGCATGCCAGGCGTGGGTTTTCCATTTTTCTTGTGTGAATTGTCTGATATTAATTGCTATGGCATTTGTGACTTGCCGCCTGGAATTCTATATCTAGTTGCGCTAAGATTGTTGGTATTATAGTTCAGCTAGCTAATGTAATATCGTTATCTATTCAATGCTTGTCAATGTTGTACATAGAAAAATGAGTGTCATCTGTGTTGTCCATCCTTGTCTAGTATATATAGTACTGCTCTGTACATTAAAATCTAATGTCCCCAATTTGGCCTGACAATCTAAAAACAAGCACTGATTAGAATACATTCAACGTTGTCTTTGTGCTGGTGACTAGAGGTGGATGTGTCACACATTTGTGCCTGGGACTAACTCTTGTGACATAAGCAGTACAAGATAATCTGCTTTGGTTGTGCTTGTCAGTAGGTGGTTGGGTTTTCAGCCTTGGTCAATGAGGACAGAAAATACTTCTCAATTGTAGATTGTCAACCCATTGAAGAGGAGGCACAATCCCTAGCTTAAATAAGATTTTCACACCCATTCATAAGACAGGTAGTGTCCCATTGTGTCACCCTGTGTCACAGTGTCCAGGTTCCATCTTTGGGTGACAATGAGAGAATTTTCTGTGCTGATGAGCAGCACTGTCTTACCTGATGGCCCTAAACTTGTCTGGCCTCCTCCAACAGAACAGCTCCTATTTGTAGAGGTGCATGGCCATCAGAGTAATGAGCAGTGCTTGTCCCACCTTTGAGGTGTTGAGTAATCCCAAAATCTGACAGGGATTTACGAGGAAAAATAGCATCTTGTTGGCTCTCCACTCCAGCGAGCTCATTGTCTCGCGTCTACATGTTAGCACTATAGCAGGAGCGAGACTTGTTGCTGAGACATTCGCGTGCATGCGTTTGAGGATACCTCACGTGAGATCCTGACTTCTCCCACAAGTTCCACGCAGCAGTGTAGTCTCACTAATTCGGAGCTAGTGCAGAGTTAGAGGTAGCGTGTGTGTCAGTGTTTCGCTTTACGCGTCTGCCATGGCTTACCACGCCGAATTCAACATGTCTCAGAGGAAGAGAGGTGCTGTTGAGATGGAACCACCGAGTCCTGATCCACGTCTCATAACGTACTACCTCGACCCGTGTAGGCGTGCCAACCATGCTCGGCATCAACATAACGCCTCGGTAATCTTATTCTAACAGATTTTAACTGTTATGCTGGTTTCAGTAGGTTGCTCGTGTCTTTGATGTGTGTGTGTTTTTTATACTGTGAGAATCGTTTCGTCCTTTTTGTATTTTGCTCTTTGTGTCTCTACTCAAGGGTTTATCTATAAGTGTTTTTCACCGTATCGCGCTAGGTTAGTGGTTTCAGTAGTTAACTTTATCGGTAATTTTTTGAGTGGCAATGAGTTATGGTATCTTATGGTTAAGGAAAAAAATAGAAACTAAGTTGTGAATTCTAAGATGTCTAAGTGCAGAGTTTTACGACAGTGTTTGCTATAACGTGGTGGTTGGATAGTGGGCAATAGCAGGTTCATTGAACTGTCACATGGTGGCTAGTGTGCATTTAGAATTTATAGCCTTCACTCTGCACATGTCAGTGTCCAAGCTTGGTTCCACAGAGCCATGTATAAGCCAGCCTGCCTGCCTGCTGGAGGGAGTCAGACCAGTTGTTTGTTTAGGGTGGGGTGATGGGGGTGGGGGTGGAGGCTAGCTCTGGGGTCATAGTTGCACAACAATTCTAGTAAGCCAGCTAGTTTCTATCTTCTGGCTGCAAGTGTTGTGAGTGCTGGGAACTGTGTCACTGTATGCATGTGTGCGGCTGTGGTGTGATGCTGGGACTAAGTATTGTGAGGAAAACCTGCGTGTGAAATACATGTGATTCTCACTGCTGCTGCTGATGCTGCTGCTGCTGATGCTGCTACTGTTTCACCCTCACTGCATCCCATTAAGTAAAAATTGTCTGTGTGCATCTCGCAGTTTTTAGACGTTCATTTGTTTTGTTCTCACAGGAGGAGTGCGAGCCACCTAGTGTGAAGCGGCTAACGCCGAACCCGCAGGCAGCGCCGCCTACGCCGGGCGAGCTCACGGTGGCGACGGATCACCTCAGTAGTCTCCACATCAGAAACGCTTCATTCAGGAATCCAAGCCTCGAATCGATGCCCAGCACACACAGGTAACCGTCCGTCCGTACGTCGACGTGGCGTTAACTCCAACACTGCGGCGTGGTGCGGAGAAAATGAATGTTTACCCTGCTTAGATGTATATATATGAACATGATAATACAATGTTGTACAAAATATGAGGGTTGGTGTTGATAACCGGTGGCATGGGCTATAGATTCAGGTACCACTGTACTCTTGAGCCAGTTTTATCAGTAATATTCCTATGCCCTTTATGTTTTGAAGACTGTATGAGTAGCAAATGCATTTTTGTATGATACATGCGATTAACTATATACCACCTACAGTGCGATGCCTTCTGTGTGCGTGTGTGCACACATGCATATGTGGAACAACATAATCTCATTGGCAATGCTCGTCCCTGATCTATCGTTGATCTCTTTCTCTGTGTTGTCACCCACAGGACGTCACCGCTTCCTGTGCTAAGCTGGGCAGATTCTGGTGAGATGTGGTCACTAATGTGCAAGAAGGATTGTCTGTATAAGAGAGACATTCGAATGTTAGACCACCATCCAAGCCTTCAGTCTCGCATGAGAGCCATACTACTCGACTGGTTGATAGAGGTAAGAAGCCGATGATCTCTCATAGTGAAGGGCGAGGGAAATCTAGACCGTTTTCACATAAACGTTACGTTCAAGGTCGGTCGGGGGTGTAGAGTCACTGTGGAACATTTTCTCGTTTAAATGGAATTGTCTAGTGTTTGTAATTAGTGTGACGTTTGGAGGTTGCTGGGGTGAAGGTGTCGTGGAGGAGAAAGTAATCGGTGCCCTGTTATTGGGGCAGCTTCAATCAGAGTGCGGTTGTTTTGACTAACGCACCGGTTCTGCTGGCATTTGCTCTTACCATCGGTTTTTCTCCCCCCACAGGTGTGTGAGGTTTATAAACTGCATCGGGAGACTTACTACCTAGCCGTTGATTACATCGATCGTTACCTGACTGTTGAAACTAACATTCCGAAACAGCAGCTACAACTTATAGGAATCACAGCACTGTTTCTCGCGTCAAAGTTAGAGGTATGTACAGTAGATCATATCGGTAAGAAGAGACTTTACACGCTGCCAGTAGTCTCGCGATTAAACTCTCTAATTAAACTTCTTCGTCGGCACTGCAAAAAGTCACTGGTTGCCCTGCGATAGAATACTCTAGCTTGACGGTCGAAGTCGATTTCAGGAAGAGTTCTAGTGAGCGAAACGTCCGCGATTGACCAGGAATCTATGCGTCATGCGTACGTGCGTTTTGTCAAGTGTAAAAACACAGCGCTGCATTTTGGCAGGAGATTTATCCGCCGAAGCTGACAGAGTTTGCCTACGTCACCGACGGCGCGTGCAAGGACAACGAAATCCTCGATAAGGAACTCGTCATGTTGAAGGTGAGAGCGATCGCGCGTCGTTAACGTGCGTTAAGTATCGTACTTCACCTCATGAGAAGCTACGAGTGTTAAGGTGTGCCTTATAATTAGCAGTATATATTTGGGGAAAGAAAGGGGGCCAGTTTGAGGTCCTTATGTTGATCAGACACGGCTTGATTTTTGGGGACATGAGCCGGGAAATATCTTACGGTTAATACTTTACTGCCTGGTATTTAATAATAGCGACAATGCTTGAGCTTTTGCAATTTCTCACATGCTTCATTACTTTTTCATGCAGCCGAGGGATGAAAAAGTGTAAGTTTCTTTCGCCTACGAATGTTTTGTGTATGGTGTGATCCATCGCAAGTTAACTCGCTCGCTCACTGTCGACTCTACTTGATTCTGCATCACAGAAGCTAAACTGGGATCTTACTCCGATGACCGTTAACTCGTGGCTAAACATCTACCTGCAAGTGACGAACCAGGACAACTGTCAGGAAGGTGACGACGCGTTGCAGGTGCAATACTCGCCACAGGTGTTCGTCCAGTTATCACAGGTGAGATAACGAACATTCTGCCATGCACACGCCCTGCCCTTCGATCATAATCTTTGGGGGGGGGGGTGTTTAGTCAGTGCTCTTATTACAGCTACACCGAAAGTGCCAAGACGTGTGTGTGTGTTTGTGTTGTTGGGCAGTCTGTAGCACGGTTGATGTTGTGCTGCACAGCCAGTAACGGTGTCGCACTCTTTGTCGCGTCTTTCAGCTCATAGACCTGTGCATGCTGGACATCGGCTGCCTACAATTCTCCTACAGCGTCGTCGCAGCTGCTGCCCTTTATCACTTATCGTCGGAACACGTGGCGCTATCTGTCTCTCGTAAGTGTCTCGCATTCCTTGTTCGTTTTGACTTTTGCATCCCTTGCTGTCGTGTACGGTGTCTAACAACTGCGTTCGTGCTGCGTAGGTTTCAAGTGGCTCGACATCAAACCGTGTGTGAACTGGATGGCTCCGTTCTCGACGGCCGTGAGAGACAACGGCGGCGTCGACCTCAAGCATTTCCAGCAGGTGTTCACCGACGACTTTCACAACATCCAGACTCACGACGTCGACCTGCCGCTGCTGGTGCGTGGAAACTCACCCCGCTGTTAATTACTCTCACCCACCAGTTCTTTAGTCTCACTCGCTTGCCGTTTATATGCTCTCCCGGTCACCTGATTTATTCCCAGTAACCCGGTTTATCCCTGGTCACCTGATTTATTCCCAGTAACCCGGTTCGTCCCTGGTCACCTGATTTATTCCCAGTAACCCGGTTCATCCCTGGTCACCCGATTTATTCCCAGTAACCCGGTTCATCCCTGGTCACCCGATTTATTCCCAGTATCCCGGTTTGTCTCTGGTCACCTGATTTATTCCTAGTAACCCGGTTTGTCTCTGGTCACCTGATTTATTCCCAGTAAACCGGTTCGTCCCTGGTCACCTGGTTTATTCCCAGTAACCCGGTTCGTCCCTGGTCACCTGATTTATTCCCAGTAACCAGGTTTATCCCTGGTCACCTGATTTATTCCCAGTAACCAGGTTTATCCCTAGTAACCTAGTTTATCCCCAGTAACCTGATTTAGTCCCAGTAACCCGGTTCATCCCTGGTCACCTGATTTATTCCCAGTAACCGTTCGTCCCTGGTCACCTGATTTATTCCCAGTAACCCGGTTTATCCCTGCTCACCTGATTTATTCCCAGTAACCCGGTTTATCCATGGTCACCTGGTTTATTCCTTGTAACCTGATTTATTCCCAGTAACCCGGTTTATCTCTAGTAACCTGATTTATTCCCAGTAACCTGGTTTATCCCCACTCGCCCTGTTTCCTCGTCAAGACGTTGTGCTGATACGTAGCCACGTACGATTTCCCTCCCAAGTTTGTTCGCACGATTGTGTCTTCACGTGTCTTGTGTTTATATATAATTTACACATTGTTATCCGCAGGAGAGGGCGCAAGCACGACAACTAGAGATCCAGCAATCTTCCAGGTCCAGCCCTGTGATGGGATTACCTGCTAGTGGTAAGCTTACCTTTTTATGCTATCTCGAGCGTTATAAAATCTTAAATGTAATTCCAAATACGGATCTCGAAGTGTTAAGCGTAGCGATTTCAAGTGCATTCCAACTTGCCCCCGACTTGACCCAAGTGCATTCCAACTAATCGGCTGAAATTCGATTGTGTTGGAGTAGGAGTCGGAGTCAAGTCGCCGAGTTGGAGAAATAGAACGCGTTCTATTTTGCACGACTCGGACGATTCGCTGACAAAAATCGATAGTGTAAATGCAGCATTAGTGTAACGTGTTATAATGTCTGTTTAGTCGTGTTTTTGCCGAAAATATTTTGGTAATTAATTGTATTTGTTTTTTTTTTGCAGCTGGGATGCTCACTCCGCCAGAAAGTGGGAAGAAAGAGCCGCCACAGTCGCTATAGCAATAATATCTACGGTAACAACAGTCACAACCTGTGTACAAGTCCGGAGCGCAGTCACACGCTGGCAATGTGCAATTTATCTTCTACGACTCTTGTTCTAAACAGTCCTTTGTTATAGATGTGTACACAAGCCTAGAAGGCAGTACGTAGCTGCATTAGGTTACTTCCATAGTCAGATATAACATAGTTTTAATATGTGTAAATTTTATATGGCCTTGTATGAAGTTTTTATCTTGTGTCCACATATTGTTACATCCAGTGTTGAGAGCATATTATTTTAATACCTGGGATTCCATTTTCCCTTCTTAATGCCTGTCTACTGCCATTCCATTTAGTAACCCATTATAACATTTGGTGCCTCTAGTGTCTCCTTTTTGTATAGAAATTGGGAATATAGGTGGGAAGCAGCACCAGGTACCTCTGCACGTATGACCGCAAACGAGTCTTTCATATAAGTAATCATAAGTGCTTAAGTATTTGTTGTCTTCCGTTGTGCAGAAAAGCATGTTACATTCATACATGCATGTGTCACCCACCACCTGTACCAGAGGTTAGGGCAATTGAAACTGAAGCAAGTTTGACACAAGGAGTGAAATGAAATGAGAGTAGAGAATATTTATTTATTATAAAGTCGGCTGAATCTGATACGTACATGTCCTTGCAATTTAAACAGCCGTGTGCATGCTAGCAAGATGAGGAGCTGCATGAGTAGTGGGTGTTTATCATTTGGTGACGGTGAAGTTACAGAAGCGGAGACAATTAACAATATTCACTAGTTATCTCACGTTGTGAGATTTACACCAAATATAGATTTGTATAGCGAGGGAAACCATATCAATGAAATTGGAGAATTGGTGATTTATTTACCCATACGTTGATGTGTTCGTTGAGTGTTGAATTGAATGCTTGTAAATAGAGAGGTGTGTATTTATGTTTATGCTTCACACAGTTATGCCCGTTTTAACTGCCAAAATACGATGCAAATGGCGACTTGCACGTCTATATATACTGACCACGACCACTCCGTGTTTAATCCGAGTAGTGAGGCTTAATCGCAAAATGAAATGTAGGAAGAGTTTGCCTAATATATTGCTATATATACAGAAGCCAAATCAACATATAAATGAAATATGCAGAGCAATGTGGAGTGCTACGCTTCAAGGGGACCAAGTTTTAGTGCCTAAATGTTATGGATTTATATCGTAGGGCAGGGTTCGATTAAGCATGTTTTTGCACGAACACCACTGCGAATTTATACAATTAACACTTTTGTCCATGTTTATATTAATTGTAAAAAATGAAGTTTTACATTGTAAAATGTTTGTAAAAAATGTATGAATAAAACTGTTTAACTTTGTAATACTTGGCTTAGCTTTTATGTAAACGTCTCCCACACTATATATACAGTATATATATATATACGTATATAGAGGACACACAAGGAATGTCAAGTACATTTTTTAAACATGCTTCTATATGAAAAAAACATTGTATATTTTACATTAATAGAAATTATACATTGTTTTTTATACATGATCTTGCCTGTACAATCTTACTTCGTTCACAACTGTCATATCCATATATAAGTCGCTACAGTCACAATCTGCTAACTCTGCTGCTCCCGCAGCCTCTGTGCTTTGAACTTTGACATACGCTTTGCCGGTTGTACGTCCCTATTTTCCCTGTCGGATGTTTGTGTAACATCCACGAATGGACTGAATCCAACGCCTTGCCCGGAGCCACCTTCGTCCCTTCTGTCAGGCGGCAATTCTGTGCGAAGACCCAATCTATTGGCACGGAATTTTGACGGTGGTCTCCCGGCGTCGGCTTCCTTTGGGATTGTTTTGAGTTTCGACGAGTCGGCCGGCGCGTCTAACCTATCTCTGACAACGCTCCTGACAGCGGGTGTCTCTCGCACCTGCTGTCTAACAGCGGTCGGCCCTCTGCCGTCCATGCTCTGTGGGGTAGTCGTGTGCTGCCCAGGATTCTTGCTCTCTATCGAAACTTCCTTGGGTTTGATGAGATCTGCTATTTCACGAGGAAGGGAGATCTCTTCATGCTCCTTTATACCCTGCAGGAGAGACCCACAACAACAGAGAGAAGATCGTTGTATTTAGCATGGAAGAATGGTAGAAACATTCATGGATCAGGTAGTGAATAAATTGTCGTTTATATAGTTTGATGATTTTTGAATATCATAACCAGCATCCACATTATTTAATTCATACACATCAGTCAGCTTTTTATATAGATGTACCTGATTGAAGCAAACTTTCTTGTGTTCCTTATTCTGATTGCTGATGACATCCTTTACCCTCCCCTTCCTGGATTTCTTTAGCATGGACTTGGTGGGTGGATCCTTCAACATGGCAGGAGCAGAATGAAGGTAGATGTCAGCTGGGCATCTGATCTTGGAGAATTCTGTCATTGGCTGTAACATGCGAATAACCAGCATGTATTGCTAAACCTGACATTTCAGCTGTTTACTATATATACTATATTATACTGATGCCCGTATGTTTATCATCTTGCTACTCTGAGTTAGTGAGCATGTGCTAGGTTTAATTACCCGATGTTCTGATTCCTTTGTAAGTGGAGTATGTTTAATTATGATACGATGTGGTTCAGCACCCTCCTCCTCATCTTCCTCATCTTCCTCTTCCTCCTCCTCCGTCTCATCATCTTTATCATAGTCGTGGCTGTAGTCACTATCACCATCATAGCTTGTATAACTATTGTGATCACCAATGTCTTCAGCGGACTGCTGTCCATCATTGATTTCCATTCTGCAATTAGTGTACAAACAGTAATATTGAATATTCGTAGTTTAACGCGTGTTAAACAATGAAAGCCTAGCACACATGGATTCTGTGACTAGAGACGTCTGGACTGATTAATTACATACAACGTGTGCCCTATATTACTGGTGACGTCTATTAGACAAGATATATTATACTAATAAATATTATATTAGATCTAAATTAAAATCGGGTCAAAATCTCTGGATACAGCAAATTTCCATAATAATTATCATAATCATTTAGTTAGAAGGCTAGGCATATAACTATGATTTTACATCTATGCATATATTCTTTTACTTACCTTTTCATCTCTTTTTCAGCCAATTCCGCCATCTCCAGCTCGTCCAACCTGAGCATTATATCTTCATGTGTCAAGTCACTAGATGCTGTGACCTCAGTTGTCTCATGTATAGCAGTCTGCTCACGCTCATCTCTTAGTTTCTTCTTGTAGGCCATCAGTTTCTTCTTGTGCTCCTCTGATGAAAATATGTGCACCAGCATCAGCATCATTATCAGCATCAACACCAAGATTAGCACCATCATCAGCATCATTATCATCATCAGAATCAGCATCAACGTCATCATCAGCATCATTATCATCATCAGAATCAGCATCAACGTCATCATCAGCATCATTATCATCATCAGAATCAGCATCAACGTCATCATCAGCATCAATATAATCATCAGAATCTGCAGCAACGTCAACCAGTATCAGCATCAACGTCATCATCAGCATCAGCGTCAATGTCAATGTCATTATCAGCATCACAATCAACATTAGCTTCATCACCAGTATCAGCGTTATGAACATGATCGACAGCAGCATTGATCAGCATCCTGTACAAACCTCGCCACTGCTTCTCCCGTTCCTCATCGTACTCTTCCACAATCTCCTGTGTGTCGCCTTGCTGCAGTGCAATGCTACGAAACTCCTCCGTGAAACTGAGTCTAGACTCCAACTGGTGTTTCTCCTCAAGTAGTTTCCTAGAGTGAGACTCAAGGTCTGTGGCGAGTGATATTACATTAGTAACAAGTGTGACTAAGAGCATCACGTTTTTACACACTGGTCTGAATATCTTCACATAGTAGAAATGTTAAAGGACAATTGAAGTCAAATTTTATAACTTCTGTAACGTTTTTATACATAGAAATACATTCAATAACGTATTCCATTTCAAATCCGGCACCCAATTTGTAAGAAACACATGAATATTAATCTAGGTCATGTGACGTCACAGCCCCCCGTTGAAACATGCCATTATATAGCGTAACAGTGCTAACACGCTAGTATATGTTATGCTAGGTGAAAGTATTGTTACAGCATACAACAAACATGTAGCCTGTAAAAGTACTTATATTCATGTACATACATATTACCTGTGTGGATAATGCATTCACGGTATATGTACATGACTTGCGTAGAGATGTTTGTACATGTACAGATACATATGTGATTCTGACCGAGCGTGATAAGCCCGGTGATCAGTGTACTCGCATGCCTCACCTGGTCTAGCGCCGAACTGGTCTACAATAACCCTGATCTTCTCATTCTCATGGCAGCATATACATTCAGGTGCCGTACTCATTAATTCACAAACATTACAAGAACACCAGTATTTGTCTACAGTCCTATCTGGTATCGAAGCTTCCATTCCGCCATGTTGTGACTGTTCTGATTCTTGAGAAGTTTGTGCCGACTCTTCGCGTTGCTTTTTCAGACGATTCTCCTCAATTTCTTCTTGTGTATATTCAGGCTCAAACCTATATCCAACTGGTAAATCACTATAAATATCACCATCATCTGAGTAATCACTAGAATTATTGAAATTATCGCTTTCTGTCTCCATCTTATACACCACACACACTATGTTTACATAATGGCGTGTTTCAACAGGGGGCTGTGACGTCACATGACCTAGACTAATATTCATGTGTTTCTTACTGCGGATTTGAACTGCGGGCACCGGATTTGAAATGGAATACGTTATTGAATGTAATTATATGTATAAAAACGTTACAGAAGTTATAAAATTTGACTTCAATAGTCCTTTAATGACAGTAAATTTTATGTAAAAATTCGTTAGAATCTTGTGGGAGTCTGAGGAAAACTTCGAAATCTTTTAATACAATTTCGAACCAAATCCAATTGCTTTCAATCTACTATCTAGTAGATCTGCAGTTTTGAGTTTAACTAGACTCACGAACGTACGATCGATTCGCCTTTGTGCAATTTCTATTGTTTGCTTAGCAGAACGTTCAGCAAACCAGTTGTCTCCAAGAAGCACCATAATCTCATTGGTGTGAACTAACTTCCCAGGCATGAATGCCAGCTTGCCAAATGGCACCTAGTAAGAAAAGTGTTGTATTAAAATTTACTTGTCAATACTTCAGCATCTTCAGATGGCTTATTTTAGTAAACCTCAAGTAAATAAACTTTATTGTGTATTGTTCATATCTTACCATGATGTCATGAGAAACTTCACCAGGATATATTTCCATTGATTTCTGTAAATCACGATAATCAGCTATGTACTTTTCCCTGCAATAAGATAATTAAATTGTGATCACTTTCTATAAATTAAAGGTCAATACTTGTGCCTGCATAAATCTCAAATTGAATTCAAAATACATGTGTATGGATCGAGCACCAAAACATATTTTAACTACGTATATACAAACATATAAAACCAAATGATTGCCTCATTATTTAATGCAGTTAAATACTATACTGACAATAACATCACAATAATTACCATTGCTTGAGTTTTGCTTCACAGTCAGCTAGCTCCTATAAAACAAACATTTATGTAATTTGATGTAAAGGTTTTTCACGTAATGAGCAAGTTGGGCAGTTTCTCCATCTATGGGATATATTTATATTAATTTGTGGAGCACAAAGAAAGCTAAAAAAAAGTTACATTTACTTCTATTACACTGGACAGCCTGAAATGTTCAGGTATTGATGTTTGGCCATTAATTATTGTCAGTATGTGTGGGCAGCATACAGGCCATATATTGGCAGCTCTCCGTCTCTCCCTCTTTCTATATATAGGTATATATATATATATATATTTAGTCAATTATATTTATAGTTGTATTCCCGGAGAACGAACCGGTTTCATAACCTTCAGTCGATACTTAGTATTTGTCTGTAGAAGTTACCTTTTCCTCAAGCTGCTTGAGTCTTGTTATATGCTCAATGTCCATAATCTTTCGATCCATCGACAGACAGATAAAAACTGTTACGCGCTCTAGAAAATGTGGTAATTTGAGAGCCACCTAAAAGTGATGCTGTAGCCTGTAGTGTTGTGACTAATACCACTGCCACTGGCAGTACGTGCCACACAGTGCACACTGACACTACAGCACCACCATGATTAATTTACTAAATCACTATGCGCCAGTGCATTATCATGTGTGGGCCTATACTGTATACATATCATATCATCAGAAACTGACAGGAATTTCTAAGTCTATCATATAAATGTGTGTAATTACATAGATACTATGCCGTTTGTATTGCTTGTTATTTAGTGACATGAGTTAAACTTGTGGGCGCATCCATATTGAAAGCTCATACTGCCGCCACCTATGTCTGAAACTTGTGAAATAAATATATCATGTAATATGCAGAATTCTTCATTGCTTTATGGGGCTAATATGTGTATGTACAATTACTTCTGTTACAGTATAAAATTCGACACATCCAATGCAACGAATAGTGACTAACTTATTTGAAATTAAAAACACCTTTGAAATACTTTCCCTAGCGATACTATTCGATGTAGTGTGCAATGATTTGATTAATATCTGCAAAATTATCAGGCTATAATTAGGAACACAACAACAAAGACAAAAATTGCCATACACAATAGTTGCAGTGTGTGATAATTTATATATCAACCCATCTAGATAAATAACAGTAAATTACTGAGTAATGGCAGTAGTGTATAATAAAGAATCGGTTTCGCCATCTCCCATTTCATAATTTGGGATTTTCATCCGATTCATATGCAAACACAATGTATACTGTGTGTCTAGTCGCACGGCAAAAACACAACTAGCATCGTACGTACATTACCTATTCAATAAACTGAAAAACTTATTTGTATAGATTACAGTTTAATTTCCTAACATTGGCACGTAGGCATGACCTGCCGCCACCTGACCGGCGCAGTTTGTGCGCACATGATCACAGTGCATGACTCGCCCAGTAAACTGGCACTACTAATGGCTGCAAGCGCCACCTAGCAACAACGCTGATGTTCAAACCCTAATTCGCTAACGTGCTCTCCGCCGAGTCGACGCCACATACAATTCTCGCGTGACAGGGGAGGTTTATAGAGGGCGCCGGTGAGGTCAAGACCGCGAGACGACGGTCGGGCGACGATGATCGACGATGCTGGCCTCTCCGTAGAGGGCTCTCGCGCGTCGCAGGAACGAGCGGACCATCGTCTTGACGACTTCGTTGAAGAACACGGAAGACAGGTGCGAGTGAAGCACCGAGCGGAACTCAAATGACAGCGAGAATTCGAGCCGGCAGCTGCTGTCATTGCCGCGGATACCGGGGCTGAACCGCCATGTCGTCTCCAGGTGGTTGAACAGCATCCCGTCTGTGCAGACAGAGCGCACGAGGTTCGGGGGCACCACAGTCACGACGGAGTTGTATCGCTCTATCAGCGGATGGAAACCGATCTCCATCATGCAGTTGAAGTGTCGGCTGGTGCGGTTCGCGATGGTCGCGTCTGTGCACCACGGCACAAACTCCGGGTATTTGTCGACGTCGGCGACGACATTGTACATCTGCTGCATCGAGTAACCGAGGATACGCTGTTCTGAGTAGTCCTTCCGCTTGCCGCCAAAGGGCAGCGACGGCAGCTTGAAGAAGTGCCGCCGCGGACAGAGGGAGGGCGGCGGCGGCGTCGAGCCGCGTTGCGAGGTCGCGGGAATCCTCGACAGGGGGCGCTGGGGTGGCGGCCTCGGCTCGTGAGCAAGGAGCAGGGACGACGCGGCATCGCGACACAGAAACCGACTACTGGCACGCATCTCTGATGATGTCAACCTGAAACACGGAAAGCATGTCGCTGTAGACCAGACGTGTATTTTAAGTGTCTCAAGCACTCTAAAGACAATTATGTGGTACCGTAACCCAGAAACATCCAGCAATGGCAATGCGACTGCCACTGCAGAGGCAGCAGTGCAGTAGTTACTAGATGATGTTACCGGGAGTACGGCAGCTAATAATTACAAATGTAAAGACAAGTTCAGGCACAGAGTCAACTCACGTCAAGATAAACGTTATGTCAGGGTTCTCCCTACGTTGCGCAAACCGGGCGCGCCCGCCCCGTTTGGGAAAACTCCACCCACGTTTCAATTGTTGCGCCCCGTTTAACTTACCTCCGCCCCGATTAAATTCCACCACAATAAAAGTTTGACAGCGCGGGAATCGATCGTCAAGAATTCCCATTCGACCAGGCCCCCCACGCGTGTATTTTTAAGGTACAACTAATGAGTAAACGTACTACACTACGCATGCACTGCAGACCACACACAAGTACAAACAGTCACCCTGTCCCAAACCCTAACACAAACTATACCAACTCGGCTGTCTTATATACAAGTACCCAAAATACCGTCTATGTGTTGGTCGGCGATTTTACGCATTACGGTAAAAAAACATGCCCCCGCGACCCCTAGTTTCCACTCCCCCCTCCCCCTCCCACCCCTTTCCCCCTCCCCTGTTTCACTTTCATCCTTGGGAGAACCCTGCGTTATGTGTATGAATAGTTATACAAAAGACCATAGATATCAGTAAGTACTTTCTTCCATATTGGAAATTGGATTTGGAATTCTCTATCTTCCTCTTTGGTTAATTGAAAAAGGGAAGATTTTTAGTTTTACTGCGATCCGTATGGGGCGCCAAGTGTCGCATGACTGATTTCGTTACGAAATCAATGATTTTGTAACGAAATCAAGTCTACAAAGTGATTTCGTTACGAAATCAACTACTGCGAGTGATTTCGTTACGAAATCAGCTACTGCGAGTGATTTCGTTACGAAGATCAGCTACTGCAAGTGATTCGTTACGAAATCATGCTACACTTGGCGCCCGGCACGCCAAGTGTCGCAGTGACTTTATTTCGTTACAAAATCAAGTCTACAAAGGGATTTCGTTACGAATCAACTACTGCGGGTGATTTCGTTACGAAATCAACTACTGCGGAATGATTTCGTTACGAAATCAACTACTGCCGAGTAATTTCGTTACGAAATCATACTAGCGAGTGATTTCGTTACGAAATCAGCTACTGCGAGTGATTTCGTGACGAAAGCATGCGACACTTGGCGCGCTGGCGCGCCAAGTGTAGCATGACTTGATTTCGTAACGAAATCAAGTCTACAAAGTGATTTCGTTACGAAATCAACTACTGAGCGTTATTTCGTTACGAAATCATGCGACACTCGGCGAGCCGGCGCGCCAAGTGTAGCATGACTTGATTTCGTTACGAAATCAGCTACTGCGAGTGATTTCGTAACGAAATCATGCTACACTTGGCGTGTGGGGCGCCAAGTGTCGCATGACTGATTTCGTTACGAAATCACTGATCCTCCTGAAAATCCTCCTCCTTCTCCACCAGCTTCTCCCTTCTCCCCCTCCTCCTCCACCAGCTCCCTTCTCCCCTTCCTCCTTCTCCACCAGCTTCTCCCCTCCTCCTCCACCAGCTTCTCCATTCTCCTTCTCCACCACCTTCTCTCTTCTCCCTTCCTCCTTCTCCACCAGCTTCTCCCCCTCCTCCACAACCTTCTCCTTCTCCCCTCCCTCCACCAGCTCCCTTCTCCTCCTCCTTATCCCTCTCCCTTCTCCCCTCCTCTCCACACTCCCTCTCCCCCTCCTTCTCCCTCCCTCTTCTCACCAGCTTCTACCACTTCTCCCAGCTTCTCTTCCTCCACCACCTTTCCCTTCTCCCCCCTCCTCCTTCTCCACGCAGCTTCTCCCCTCCTCCTTCTCCACCACTTCCCCTTCTCCCCTTCCTCCCTCTCCACCGCTTCTCCTCCCTTTCTCACCACCTTCTCCCTTCTCCCTGTCTTCTCATTCTCCACAGCTTCTTCCCTTCCTCCTTCTCCACCAGCTTCTCCTCCTCCTTCTCCACCACCTTTTCCCTTCTCCCCTTCCTCCTTCTCCACCAGCTTTCTCCCCCCTCTCACTAGCTTCTCCCCCTCCTCCCCACTTCTCCCCTCTCCTTCTCCACAGCTTCTCTCCCTCCTCCTTCTCACCAGCTTCTCCCCTCCCTCTCTTTCTCCACCACCTCCCTTCTCCCCTTCCTCCTTCTCCACCAGCTCTCCCTCCCCCTTCTCCACCACCTTCTCCCTTCTCCCCTTCCTCCTCCTTCACCATCTTCTCCCCCTCCTCCTTCTCTACCAGCTTCTCCCCTTCCTCATTCTCCACCAGCTTCTCCCTCCTCTTCTCACAGCTTCTCCCCTTCTCCTTCTCCACCACCTTCTCCCTTCTCCCCTTCCTCATTCTCCCCCAGCTTCTCCCCCTCCTCCTTCTCCACCAGCTTCTCTCCTCCGCCTTCTCCACCACCTCACCATGCTCCTCCTCCTGTACCGGCCTGAATATAGACAACCCCGTTCCGATTTCCTAAATTCCCGCAGTCCACATCCTAGACTGGTACTCGCTCCCATCTTGATTACTCGATGGTAACTAAGCCCATCGATAACTAAGCGAGAGGTGGACCGGGTACCAGTCTCATCCACATCCATGCACGCCACGCCCATGTATGCATATTTTTCACTTTTTCTATCTTATCCCGATTAACTATTTTTTCCCGTAATTAATAAATAATATAACGCAAATATTACATGATTTATTTGTAGACTTGATTTCGTAACGAAATCACTTTGTAGACTTGATTTCGTTACGAAATCAGTCATGCGACACTTGGCGCCCTTACGCCAAGTGTAGCATGATTTCGTAACGAAATCACTCGATGTGTAGTAGCTGATTTTCGTCACGAAATCACTCGCAGTAGTTGATTCGTAACGAAATCACTTTGTAGACTGATTTCTCGTAACACGAAATATCACCTTTGTAGACTTGATTTCGTGCGAAATCAATGTATTAGTAACGAAATCAGCCATGCCGACACTTGGCCCCTACGCCAAGTGTAGCATGATTTCGTAACGAAATCACTCGATTGTAGTAGCTGATTTCGTAACGAAATCACTTTGTAGATTTGATTTCGTAACGAAATCACTTTGTAGACTTGATTTCGTAACGAAATATCACTTTGTAGACTTGATTTCGTTACGAAATCAATGATTTAGTAACGAAATCAGCCATGCGACACTTGGCGCCCTTACGCCAAGTGTAGCGCATGATTTCGTAACGAAATCACTCGATTGTAGTAGCTGATTTCGTCACGAAATCACTCGCAGTAGTTGATTTCGTAACGAAATCACTTTGTAGACTTGATTTCGTAACGAAATATCACTTTGTAGACTTGATTTCGCTTACGAAACTCACTGATTTAGTAACGAAATCAGCCATGCGACACTTGGCGCCCTTACGCCAATGTAGGCATGATTTTCGTAACGAAATCACCGATTGTAGTAGCTGTTTCGTCACGAAATCACTCGCCAGTAGTGAATTTCGTAACGAAATCACTGTAGACTTGATTTTGTAACGAAATATCACTTTGTAGACTTGATTTCGTTACGAAATCAATGATTTAGTAACGAAATCATGCTACACTTGGCGTAAGGGCGCCAAGTGTCGCATGGCTGATTTCGTTACTAAATCATTGATTTCGTAACGAAATCAAGTCTACAAAGTCGTATTTCGTTCACGAAATCAAGTCTACAAAGTGATTTCGTTACGAAATCAAATCTACAAAGTGATTTCGTTACGGAAATCAGCTACTACAAATCGAGTGATTCGTTACGAAATCATGCTACACTTGGCGTAAGGGCGCCAAGTGTCGCATGGCTGATTTGTTACTAAATCATTGATTTCGCAACGAAATCAAGTCTACAAAGTGATATTCGTTACGAAATCAAGTCTACAAAGTGATTTCGTACCGAAATCAACTACTGCGAGTGATTTCGTGACCGAAATCAGCTACTACAATCGAGTGATTTCGTTACGAAATCATGCTACACTTTGGCGTAAGGGCGCCAAGTGTCGCCATGACTGATTCGTAACGAAACTAAGTCTACAAAGTGATTTCGTTACGAAATCAAGTCTACAAATAAATCATGTAAATATTTGCGTTATTATATTTTCTATACTGCTGGAAAAAAATAGTTAATGGTAAGATAGAAAAATGAAAAAATATTCATACATGGGGGCGTGCGTGCGATGGATGTGATAGACTGGTACCCGTCCACCCTCTCGGCTTAGTTAGCCGATGGGCTTAGTTACCATCCGAGTTACAAGAAGGGAGCGAGTACGAGTCTAGGATGTGGACTGCCCGGGAATTAGAAATCGGACCGGGGTTGTCTATATCAGGCCGGTCACAGCGAGGAGAGCAGTGAGGTGGGAGAGGACGACGGAGAGAATGGTGGGAGAAAACGGAGGAGGGAGAACGGTAGAGAATGAGGAAGGAAGAAGGGAGAGAGTGTGGAGAAGGCAGAAGGGCGACGAAGCTGTGGAGAAGGAGAGAGGGGGAGAAGAGCTGTCGGGAGAATGAGAAGGGTGACAGGGAGAAGCTGGTCAGAGAAGGAGAGGGGAGAGATGGGAAGTGAGGAGGAGGAGGCGAGAAGCGTGAGAAGGTTGCGTGGAGCAAGGGAGGGGAGAGCTGTGGAGAAGGAGGCAAGGAGAAGGAGTGTGGAGAAAGAGGAGGGAGAAGCTGGTGGAGAAGAGAGAGGGAGAAGGTGTGGAGAGGGAGAGAACTTAGTGGAGAAGGAGGGGAGAAGCTGTGAGAGGAGGAGCGGAGAAGGGAAAAGTGGAGAAGGAAGAGGGAGAAAGGCGGTAGAAGAGGAAGGGGAAAGTCGGTGAGAATGAAGCAGGGAAGAGGAGAGAAGTGGTGGGAAGAGGAGGGAGAGCTGGTGGAGAAGGAG